TTGTTGGTGACATTTTATCTCAGTCCAACTAATGCAATGGAGCTTGAACTGGTGCTTGTGATGATTAGTGTTCATCGAGTTCTATTTATGATTAAAATTTCAAAGCAAACAAAACATTCCTATTTCGATAGGTTTTTGTCTTGCTGCAAGACAATTTTTATTTATCGAATTTTGAAACAAAAACATATTAAAATGAGATAAATATTTTTTTTTTGAAATTTATACATTTAAATGTCATTATTTCTCATTGTCAAATGGTCGAAAAATGAAACGCCTTCGTCAACGATCATAAACAATTATTAAATAATTCTTGTCTCCAAATATGCATTAGCTTTTCTTCAACATCCATCTATTTATAATCAATGAATAAGATTCTCACGAACTTTTCATACCTACATATTTGTTAAACATATAAATATATATACATAAATCATTTTTTCGTTCAAGTCTTTCAGTTGAGCATGTGATAAACGATTGATGGATATCTATTGAATTGTATCTGAAAGAAAAACAAGGAAAAAAGGTCACACTTTTGTTAAAGATTATTTCAAACAATCCAATATATTTGATGATATGTTATGATACAATAATCAGGGTGGGTATGTAGATGTGAGTGAAATCAACATGTATGTTGTTTACTATCACCCATCGATCATCCATCTCACCCAACACACGTTATTAACATTCCCAGGTCCACCAATCCGATAGCGGATCCGACCAGCCGACAAAATCCGACAGGATTCCGTGTAACGGAATCGCTAAAGGATCCGACGGTCGGATCCTAATGGAATTCCGATCATATCCGACTGTGGGAACTGATAGGTATTCCGGCAGCCGGATTATGTTGGAAACCGTGTAATGTGGAAAGTTACACTTCCGTCAGATTTTGTCGGAAAATGTCGGACTCACTTCTGATTGGCTGGGCAATAGCCAATCAGAATTCAGACACAATTTTAACTTATTTTGATAGAGATTAATCACAGTCATCGCTAGGGGTGGCACTTTAACTTTACTTTAAAAGTTAAAGTTAAAGTGGCACTTTGAACTTTAAACTTTAATTAAAGTGAAACACTTTAAACTTTAAACTTTAATTAAAGTTTAAAGTAAAATACTTTAAAACTTTAAACTTTAATTAAAGTTTAAAGTTTAAAGTGTTTCACTTTAATTAAAGTTTAAAGTTTAAAGTGTTTTTAAAGTTAAAGTGCCACCCCTAATCCTTGGGCTGTAAATCTTATATATTTTATATCTAAATGTTTAAATCAAGGGGGAAACGGCGGACTTGAAGTAGAAAAGTACGTCAAAGTACGTCAAAGTAGACTACTTGAAGTAGCTCAAAGTACCACCCAAGTAGCTCAAAGTACCACCCAAGTAGTCCAAAGTAGGAACAAGTAGCTTAAAGTAACTTCAAGTAACTTCAGGTAAATTTGAAGTTGAAAAATACTTCAAAGTAAGCTACTTCAAGTAGCTGAAAGTAACTTGAAGTAGCGTAAAGTAGCTCAAAGTAACCTCAAGTCCAAAAGTCCGCCGTTTCCCCCTTGGTTTAAATACGAAGGTGTGCATCCGTCGGATTTCATCGGAAATTGTACGATTTCATTTTTCTGTCAAACAAGAAGGAATAGCGATCCTTGGGCTGTAAATTTTATATTTTTTATATCTAATGTTTAAATACAAAGTTGTGCTTCCGTCGGATTTCATCGGAAATTGTAGGACTTCGTTTTTCTCTCAAATAAGAAGGAATAGCCATCCTTGGGCTGTAAATTTTTTGTTTTTTATATCTAAATGTTTAAATACAAAGATGTATATCCGTTGGATTTCATCGGAAATTGTAGGATTTCATTTTTCTCTCAAACAAGAAGGAATAGCCATCATTGGGCTGTAAATTTTATATTTTTTATATCTACATGGTTGAATACAAAGATATGCATCCGTCAGATTTCGTCGAAAATTGTAGGAGTTTAGCTTTTTTTTCTGTTTGAAAGAACAATGTTCTACTTCCGTCGGATTCGCTTTGGAAATTGTAGGATCCTATCGGTTTCCGACTGTAGGATCCTATCGGTTCGGTCCGATCGGATTTTGTCGGACGCCGATAGTGGGATCCGAGCGGTTCCGTCCCGTAGGATTTTATCGGCCGCCGATAGTGGGATTCTGTCGGATCTGGAATCCGACAGGATTCGTATGCGTTTCCGTTATACGGAATCCGTTGAGATTCCGATAGGATCCTCTGGGATCTTATAAATTCCTATGGGATCTGATCGGATCCGATCGGATCTTACAGGATCGTATAGGATCCGATTGTCGGACTGGTGGACCTGGGTTCTCCTGTTTGATACCTTTCGTCAGATTAATTTCAACAGCGTGATATCCACCAAAAAAAAACAGCCAGCCAATCAATGATAAGAAGAGACAACATACTTGAAATGAATTATTGTTTCTCCATTGAAAAATCATGTCTCTAGAATGAATGTCTTTGTTCTTTAACCTCATCAATCTCAAACACATACCTTCTAGCAGCCCATACCCATTACTATGTTGGAAAAAAGCTTGATAACAATGAAAACAACGTTCGTTCTTTTATGATTGATCGATTCTTGTATTTCTTTCGATGACGATGCATTCGTTTCGTTGTTGATCTTTGGTACAGACTCACATCTTGTGCACTCTTGAAACGAAAGATAAGAAATCCTTCAGTAATAAATCATACACACTTGTATAACAACCGATCAAAAAAGTATCAACAAAAGGAAGAAATAAACTGTGTCCAAGGAGACGAACGAGTTTCTTTACATCTCCTGCCTCCGGTAAGTATTCATTTATTCATCGCTCTACCTTATTGCCATTCGATCAAGACTATTCGTTTATTACTTATAGCGTGGATGTGAGCATACAGAAGACAACACCCACACTCACCTACCATGTGAATGATACAAAAAGTGTTCATTTAACAGATCTTTGCTCGAAATTCAATGGTACTAGTTCCGTTTTTTAGATCGAAGCACCTTGTTCAAAATCGTACTTCTTCATGAAAACATTGTCCTTACAATGTTTTACTGTCACAATCTTTGAAAAATCATGAAATTTTTTCAAAAGTTTGATGCCAGCAGATTCTTCCACTATGTCATCATAATGGATTGCATGATCTGAGTGTGAATATGAGCGGAATCAATATAATAACATTTACACCCACACCCTATTTACCGCTTTCCTTTTGAAGTCAGGCTACCTGCTTGAGAATCAACAAAAACCTTGCATTGATAATTGAGAAAGAAAAATCGTCGTGAAAGATAATTTTTGTTTAAATAACGAAGGTTTAAAGTTGAATAGCATTCATACATTCGTGATTTCAGATTCATACATAATAATACATATAATTTGTTCACATTACGTACAATCAATCAAACAATATGGATCGCGATGCATCATCAGCAGTATCAAATTCTTCCAGCACTAATCACTCATTATCGCGCTCTACGTTAAATCAGGAATTAGAAGATTCAAATCGCATTCCGAAATGGGATCATCGCACTGATACAAATGATATTGTTCAAGACTTTCTTCTGATTTGGCTTGACGCAAAAATCGATGGATCGAGCGATGACTATCTCAATTCTATCAAACAACTACGACAAATAGTCAATACCATTGAAATATTTCGTGACGCAGATGAATGCATCGATTATATTTCAGATCTCGAAAACGAAAAGTCGTTTCTCATTATTTCTGGTGCTTTATGTCAAACAGTTGTGCCACTCATTCATAACATGACACAATTGTATTCAATTTATGTCTTTTGTCGGAAACAAGAACTGTATGAAGAATGGAAAAAAAATTGGTCCAAAGTGAATGGCATTTTCACCGAAATTACTTCAATTTGTGATTCAGTTCGACAATCGGCTCGACAATGTGACGAAGAGTCGGTCATGATTAGTGCTGTATCGTCATTGAATCGAATAGAACCATCATTTATGTATACAAAACTGTTCAAAGAAATAATTCTTGAAATCAATTTCGATGAAAAGAAAGAAATCAAGGATTTAGCCGAGTACGCACGTGCAAAGTATACCGGAAGTGATAGACACTTGAAAATTATTGATGAATTCGCTCGAGACTATCGAGGTAATTTGAATGGAAATAACAAGCCCATTTGGTGGTACACTCGAAATTGTTTCACATATCAGATGCTCAACAAAGCACTGCGTACACTACAAGCTGAGACACTTCTCAAAATGGGCATCTTCATTCGAGATCTTCATCGAAACATTGAGAAACTTTATTTGGAGCAATCCAATGAAACTCATGGTGCAAAAACAACAATGACAGTCTATCGGGGTCAAGCCATGATCAAGGAAGATTTTGAAAATAAAATCAAACAAGGTGGACTGATTTCTTTCAATAATTTCTTATCAACAAGTGATGATCGCAAGGTGGCCATTCGTTTTCTTCCAAAAGGACCTCAGTCCGCTGCCCAGGACACAATTGGTGTTCTCTTCGAAATGACTATTAATCAAGCGATTTCATCAACTCCATTTGTCCACATCCAAGAATTTAGTTATTTCAAGACCGAAAAAGAAATTCTGTTTTCAATGCACACAGTTTTCCGCATTCAGCAAATCAAAGAAATACAAGAGAGTGAAATAATAATATGGCAAGTTAAACTTACACTCACTAGTGACAGTGACGACCAACAGCTTAATGCTCTTACCGAACGAATGCGACAGGAGATTACTAGTACAGGATGGGAACGAATGGGTGCATTGTTATGGAGACTGGGTGAGAATGACAAAGCAGAAAAGGTGTACACGATGTTACTCGAACAGGTATTCAATGAGCGCCATAGAGCCATTTTCTATAATAATATTGCACTGATCAAAACCGATCAAGGAAAATACAATGAGGCGGTTAAGTTTCACGAAAAAGTACTCCATATCATGAAAAACAATCTCCCTTCGAATGATTTCTCATTGGCTACTTCCTACAATAACATCGGTTCGTTGTATGGTACGATGGGCGAGTACTCGAAAGCACGTTCATCTTACGAACGAGCACTTGAAATCTGGAAAATAGCTCTTCCTCCAAATCATCCCAACTTGGCTAGACTCTACAACAACATTGGTTTGTTGTATTATAACATAGGCGAGTACTCGAAAGCACTTTCATCTTACGAACGAGCACTTGAAATCTGGAAAATAGCTCTTCCTCTAAATCATCCCTCCTTGGCTACTTCATACTGCAACATCGGTATGGCGTATAGAAACATGGGCGAGTACTCGAGAGCACTTTCATTGTTCGAACGATCACTTGAAATCGAAAAAATAGCTCTTCCTCCAAATCATCCCGACTTGGCTGCTTCCTACAACAGCATTGGTTCGGTGTATGATGAAATGGGCGAGTACTCGAAAGCACTTTCATCTTACGAACGAGCACTTGAAATCTGGAAAATAGCTCTTCCTCTAAATCATCCCTCCTTGGCTACTTCATACTGCAACATCGGTATGGTGTATAGAAACATGGGCGAGTACTCGAGAGCACTTTCATTGTTCGAACGATCACTTGAAATCGAAAAAATAGCTCTTCCTCCAAATCATCCCGACTTGGCTACTTCCTACAACAACATCGGTTCGGTGTATTATGACATAGGCGAGTACTCGAAAGCGCTTTCATCGTACGAACAATCACTTGAAATCCGAAAAATAGCTCTTCCTCAGAATCATCCCGACTTTGCTCAATCCTACAACAACATCGGTATAGTGTATTATAACATAGGCGAGTACTCGAAAGCGCTTTCATCGTACGAACAATCACTTGAAATCCGAAAAATAGCTCTTCCTCCGAATCATGCCGACTTGGCTGCTTCCTACAACAACATTGCTTCGGTGTATAATAACATGGGCGAGTACTCAAAAGCACTTTCATCGTTCGAACGATCACTTGAAATCCGAAAAATAGCTCTTCCTCCGAATCATACCGACTTGGCTACTTCCTACAACAACATTGCTTCGGTGTATAATAACATGGGCGAGCGCTCGAAAGCACTTTCATCGTACAAGCGATCACTTGAAATCGGAAAAATAGCTCTCCCTTCGAATCATCCCAACTTGGCTATTTCCTACAACAACATCGGTTCGGTGTATTATAACATGGGCGAGCGCTCGAAAGCACTTTCGTCGTTCGAACGATCACTTGAAATCCAAAAAATAGCTCTCCCTCCGAATCATCCCGACTTGGCTTGTTCCTACTGCAACATCGGTATGGTGTATAAAAACATGGGGGAGTACTCGAAAGCACTTTCACATTACGAAAAAGCCGAAGAAATCTGGCAAAAGTCACTACCTTCAAATCACCCAAATATTGCACTTGTGAAAAGAAACATTGAAAATGTAAAAAAGAAAATGTAATTATTGTTTTTTCAAACGAGAAAGTAAATTAGCGTTCTTGGATACTTGGCTCGCCTAAGCGCACCAGCTGCAAAAATTTCCCGCACGCGCGACCAGGGATACCCTCCGTATTCTGTTGGGTTGTACAGTGGACAAAGCCCGTAATGGTGACGCAAACATAAATCTATAATATGTACGACTAGTACATTCATGATCATCACCTTGGGAAAGACAATGACAAGATGGACGCTTCTAGTCATACATACATAGATGTATGTTATGAAGGCCTACTATCTGCATGCCTGTACAGGTTGCCAACAGAACGTCGGATATCCCTCGGAAGATTAATTTGATTTAGTGCCACCCCCGAAGCTTCGTTTGTTTACAAAATGTTTGTTCTTCTGTTACGAAGAACGAGACGAAGAAGAAATAGAAACGGAAGGAAGAAAAGGCACAAAAATAGACAGACATGAAAAAGATGACGTCGATATTAGGGAGTGATAATATGCAGTGCACGATAACAGCAACCGGTTTGTCTCGATATGGAAAAAATCGAGCGCATGACATCTTTGTTGTCTTTAGGTATTTCGTATTCAATT